ATCACTCTATTCACTTAGCTTGTTTTTATTAAAAGCTAAATAAATTCTATTAATGTTTGGTTATAAAAATGCCTGAAATTGATAAACATTGAAAGACTAAACAATTTGGACCATAATTTATGAATTTCAAAAGGTAACTTGAAAGTTTTCAATGTGAAGGAAATTAACTAATTAATTGTTCATCTATATCGCTAGAAAATATAGGGTTCTGCCTAGCTAAAAGTTAATTTTACTATTCCAAAATCACTTTGAGCTTGGCTGAGTATCATAATTAAAATATAAGTTCAATAAACACTCTATACTGTTAGATATAAACATTTTTTAGCTATGAAATATTTTACTACATCTTATAATTTTACACCACAAATTGACTTTAGTTAGATAAACACTAATAGGTACATTATTAAGTACAGTGAACAGTTATTTATGCAATGATTCTTTGGCGAGAATCAAACTATGCTGGGCGGACATCGAATGTAGATGCCTCAGCAGGCCGCTGGAGCGCAGGCATTGAACATCCCAGGTGCCGGGAGGATGTCGGATTTTGATGCCCCGGAAGGTCGACAGAGCTGTGGAGGTCAGCGCGCCACAGACTCAATATTTTGATTGAGAGCGTTGCAAAGACTGCAAAGAAGAAGAAAGTGGCACGGCGAGCAAAACCACCGCAAGAATGAATGCTTCAAGTGGGGGATGGCTGTGGTGTGGGTTACTTATTTCCACATAAGTAGTATATAACAGTGGTCAAGTATAAAATGTATTTCAGTATAAGGTCAATGAGGAAAGAAAGGGAAGGAAACGCAATCGGTATGAAAACGCATGAACAACCAAATCTGAGACAATGGATGAATGTTTGCAACCGGAACAGTCAAGTTTGATATGATGGATTGATATTCTGCAAATTAACGATTTACTATGTGGTTCTCAGATTTTAGTCAGATGCTCTGTAATTTAGTGTCAAATACATTCGATTGCCCTCACTGGTGTTTTGTTCACTACATAACAAACTTCGATAATTTTTATAATCTTCCCTATATTTACTTTTTACATTACGTCGTAATTCAATCGTATGAATAAATGTTTGCTAGAAATTAAATATTAGAAAAAATATATATACTTTTTAAAGATCATCATAAGTCAGCTGTTCATTGTTCGATTGTTGTAAAGTAATTTATCTAATTTAGAATATGGTCAGTGATTTAGATTCAATTCCGAATGCACAGATGAATATTCACTCTTTATCTTTCTTTTAGATTGGTTCTGGAAGAGAATGATGATCAGTTAGGATACACTAAATGGAGTTAAATCTAGGCCTGAATTAGAGACGAAGACTCTGAGAAACAGGAACTGAGTGTGAGAAAGGGAGAGAGAGAGGTTAAGTTAGTTCGCACCAAGCCATCAATCCAATTCATTGATTGTATATTGTGAAATCTGGCAGTTCTTGTTCTGTGTGTTTCCAAATTTTACGAATAATTTTTCCAGTCAGTATAATCATTTTATTCTTCCTCTTTCAATTACTCAATTAATCACTTTACATTATTTTCATAATCACTCAATACTACTACTCAGCTATTATCGCTTTATTGTTGTAAATTTTTTTATATATATATATAAAGAGAGATAGAGATCCATGATGAAAAACTAATTGAAAGGAATATTCCTTCATTCTGTTCGTCTTTTTGTTAATCTAACCTCGTCGACCGACATCCATAACCAGACACGGTAACGATATACTGAATCTTCAGACTTCCCTGTTATTATTATACCGCGGCACTATTGAAATGAAATTCAATTATCCGCATTCATAAAATTATAGCGGATTCTAATCGATCATAATCAATACTAAACTAACTCACTATTGACATTTTATCCCGTTACAGATCATAAGTACATACATACTTTTGTAAAGGTGAAAAATTTGACTGAACATTAGTTCAATGATCTTCATGTTTCACATAGCTCATTAAAAAAATTAAATCAAAATTGTTGCAAGCTTAATAAAAGAAATCACTTCAAAATTGATCATTTAATTTTTAATTTGAACGTTTCTTAACATTTATATATATACTAAGCAGAGATGGATGGTGGTTAGCAGTGGAATCCAGGATGCATGTTTCCTCCCATTTTGGACTCGTTAATCGTACGTAGCTGAATCTCAAAGTTGATGTTCACCAGTTGACGAGTCTTAAATAGGACGAAAAGTGAGTCCTGAATTTTACTGCTAGACATCATTTATCCCTTTCTATAATGCTTATAACTTAATGGTAATATCGAGGTAATTCTCACAAGATTCACATAAGCCAAAAAAAAACAACAACTGATCAATTGTAGTCACAAACATTAGTGGCTTGATTCAAGTGATCAATACAAATTTTATGCAAACATTTGTTCAAGTTTAACCACCCACTATGGTGTTTTCGGTAAGGCTTAGCTTGTTACCGACCCTCCACCCGCAAAAAATTTATTTACTTCAACTCGTCAATACAAAATAAAATATATAAATAAAATAATAATTAACAATATATGTATTAATAAATCTCTCAGTAACTAAATTAATTATGATTTGATAATTGCAAGAAATGATTGGTATAGAAAAATGGAAATAAATAAAATATTTAGAAGTAAAAGGAGGATTTGTAGAGAGTCTAGTTCCATACTTGAACAAAATAGCCGTTCACTACATCTATGTTTTCAGTAGTGGTCTAGTTAAAATCAGTGTGTGATTTAAACTATGAAAATAAATATTTCATTCACATACGTTGATTGACCGAAATAAATCAAGATCGTAGTGTATAATGTGGACACTCAAACACTGATTATGCAATGAAATTTATGATTTCCATGTGGAAACTATTTATGTGATTATCTGGTTGGAAAAAAACAGGATGAAAACTAATTTTTTAAAAATAATAATGTAACGATAACAACAACATCAACAACACGAAAACTGACAAAATAATAAACGACAGTCAATAAATCTGTTGTTGTGGTTGTTGTCTTTTCTCTCTCTCTCTAAAGAACACCTAGACATAATGAATCTCCTTAGAAATTAAAAAGATTGCATTGAAAACAAATAAACCCATAAGTTATTATATATGTTGTTGTCTTTTTCACTGTGTATTTGATCTCCAACTGTGAATCAACTAATTATTACTTTGCATTGAAATCACGAACTAATCAATGTTAGATCACCATTAAAATCTGGGAGCACTGGATGCCCACTTCGTTCTAGTATGAGACTTCTCAGCAATGTGTAACCACCGTCCCGAGCGTTGGAAAAGTACTCAGCACGTTCGATCTTCCTTGAAGTTGCTTAACCTCTAGACCACTGAATTGGCATCCAACGATGTTAATATTTAACTTCAATCAATCTATGATTGTTTCGCCAACAGAGAAAATCATTATTTTTTTCTTGAGTTCAATGTATTACAAGTATTTACTAGTTTGAAATATATATTACTATGTGATCTGTTGTATCATGATCAGTGCAGTGGCCTGTAGGAAAAGTTCAAAATGTAATTTCTAAACAACTTAATATGAAACTACTTAGGATTCTAGTGAATGTTTAATTTAATCATCTCAAAGTATTGTGATTGTTACTAGACATGTAATCTCTGAGTTCAGTCTATCAAAGGTAGAATAGTGAATGTAAAACACCAAGTTTTAGAGTATAACAAAGCAATTATTTAATATTTCATAAATTAGTTGTCGTGTGTGCTACTTATATTGATATAAGTAGTATAGGACGCGAGTTAAAGAACGTAATGTCTGGCAGCAGAAGATGGGGAAAGATCAACAAAGGAAGAGCGGGAGCGCAATGTAATTTGTAAGGAAACGCATGAGCCATGAAATGTGAGACAATGGATTGATGGTTGTAACAGCAACAGTCCGGTTTGATATGATGGAATGATATTTTGCAAACTAACGATTTACTATTTGGTTTTTCTATTTTACCGAGTAGCTCTGTATTTTGTGTACTACATACAATTCGATTGTCCCCACCCGTGTTCGCCTTCGCTACACGATGATTCCTTCGTTGAAATAAATTTATTAAGGTTAGTTTTATGTTGAGAATATTTTTAAAACTTCACAATTAACTATCTCAATCTATGTTTATGCGCTTAATTTATAGTTAACACAAGAACAATAGCCTTTGTAACATTGAATTACGAAACCAATTGTTAGTTAAAGAAATGTTAAGTTAATATAATCTATTTTGTAAAATAATCATGAGTATTATGATACTCATTTTATGATCTGAAATAATCAAAAATGGTTACTTTCCTGATCATTCGAAAACTAGAACACCGTACGTTAATAAGTACTGATAATCAGTAAATAACTATAAATGACGTAGTTATTACTAAGGATTAGTTATTGCTAAAAGAGTATGATATAATGTTATATATTAGTGTTTAATAGAACTTAGTAGCCTATTAAATAATGAGTTTATGTTTTTGAAACAATCGGCACTGATTTTTAATCTGACTATGAGTATCAATACATGTATGTAGATCTACCTATTGGTATGGGTCCCTAAAAAAACCACCTGCTTCGGTTAGGGCATCCAGGCAGTATCCCAGCCCTCACACAAATCAAATGATTTTTGGGGCGCATATATATTTGGTGCCTCCTTGTACCAATGTTTATGTCTTTAAATAAACACATAAGATACACTTAAGTGGCAAGTCGTAAACAAGGTAAAACAAATCTCTTGAAGATATAATTTATTCCATTCTTTTATATTGGTTATTAGATTCTCCTCGTTAATGTTGCGAACAATAATTGATCAGTACACTCTGTGAAGACTACATCGATATTGCCACTAATTTACAGGCATTTAAACAAAATTGAATGATAGCTAGTGGGGGAATCCAAGATGCGCGTTTCGTCTTATTTAAAACTCGTCAACCAGATGTACCTGTTTATAATTTATTTGCTTTGCTTAACTGAAAATAATACAGTAGGAAATGAGCTTCAAATAAAAATGTATATTTATAAATTAATTATTGTATTTTAATAATAAACAAAGACAAATTGACAAAATAACTAACAACTTCAATGTCTCACAAATAAGTATCTCATTTATTTCCCGATGAGATCCAATGTTTCAAGGTATTTATTACGATAATAAATAAAAAATTACACGTTATCTACCAAATATACTTTGTGTACTCAACTTTGAGTTACAAATTTAATGTAAAAGTTAATGATATAGCATGATTATCTAGACTGAAGTCGGTGTAATGGGCTTTGAGCAGACGACATACTGGCTGAAAATCGATATTTCTTAACCATTAAACTACAGTTTCATATTAACAGGTTAATGATTCAATTTTATATGAACATCAAACACATTCTGGGAAAGTACCATGCGGATGTTCATACTGGGATGTGAAGGCTGTACGGTTCTATCCAAACGTCAATAATGAAATGCTTTGGTTTCATGTATTTCAAGTCCAACACTTAAGCTTAAGGCTTTCAAGCCTCATAACAAATTTGTTACCTGTAGGTAAGGTGAGTTGGAACGCGTAAGAAATGAATGGGGATTATATGTCTGTACCATTCGAACTCGTATCACTTTGTCTCATGATGAGACATTATCACTTAGCTTTTCAAGGCGCGACCGATCTTCCGTGAGACTGAAATATCGATACTGATGAAAACATATTGCTTCTGATGTCGAGTTACTTACACTAGTAGCCGTATTGCAACGCGGTCAACAGAGATTCATCACCAATAAGAGTGAACACAACATTGGTCAGTCGGTGATCAATGCATTTAATTATTTTTTTTCTTCGACAAAGAAAAAATATTGAACAAAAAACAAAATCTATCATTTGAAAAGTTGATTTTATGGAAGAACAAACGATATAAATGTGCATGTAACAAGATAAAGAATATGTACACAAAGATATCAAGTAGGAAATGATGTTTGGAAATAGTGTATTCATGTTAATAACGGTTTGATATTTAGCAAGAAAAATATTATCGAATAGAAAGATTTAATTTTTCAGCTAAAACTTGAGCAATATTCTCATGTAATGGCCGAACGTCATCCACTGTCAAAGTTTTATGTTGATCTCGATAGATAAAACGATAGCAAAGACTTTGTTGTCCGGTTTTAGGATCATTGTATGAATCGACCAAACGAATCTACATGTAAGTGGAAAATGAAAATAATTCTGATGAAATATTAATAATTAGGAATCTAGCTACTCACTTACAATGTCAGTAGTATAAATTCTACGACAAATTTAACTAGTAGGCTAGGAATGTTGTCATTATGGGTTTAATCTGTACAGCCAGAGCTATAATTTTTATTTGTAAAACTGTTTAAGTGATTTGTAGGAAAAATGATTCATCTTTACCTGTTCTATGAGATCACCAGCTTCGGAACGTACAATATCGAAAATATCCCGTTCAACTATCTTAATTCTATCTAATCCATCAGGATTGGAAGACAAAGATGATGATATTGATTGAGAGTTGTTTAACCAAAATGAAAGATCCAATACACATGGAGGAAATATACTGACTGGCTGATATAATATAAAAGAACAAACAAAAAATGACACATTGATAATAAGTACTGAAAAACTTCATTTTTTCGTCATAAATATGAAAATTTGTTCATACCAAGAGGTCAAAACCATATTCTATCATATTCATATTTTACAGGAGTTAAAAATCAACGCTGAAATCAAGTATAAGTTTGCATAGGTCAGAATTAGGATACAATTTCTGAATGATAGTTAATAATATTAATATTACCACTCAAATACTTACTACCTGAACCGAAGAATATGAACTGGATTGGAATCTAAGATTCAGTGGTTAAAATGCAAATAGACCTTAAGAAATAAACTACCGATCAAAAGACTATTTTGTTATTTTCAAAGATACTTTGTCCCGTAAATTTTTAGCCAGATAATTAGTCTCATGAAAAATATTACTAATATTGATGTGTGTGCGAGAATGATAATGATTGGTTGTCTGCTTAGTCAGACATGTAGATGGTCTGATAGGTATCAGATGAGTTATATATACCCCCCCATCCTTATTATTATTACTCACTTATTATTGATTGTTCATTATTGTTGGATTGTGTCGGGTTTTTGGTGTGGATATATATTTACGTTCTAGTCAGGCTAATCACGTGTTCTTGATCTGAGTTGTGTTGAAGTCCTGTAGAATAGATACTGGGAGGGAATCTAGTGTATATATTTGTCTAAGGTAAATTAACGTCCCATACGTGTAAACGTGGAAACCCAACCGTTATAACATTAGACAAATTAAAACCGAGCGTTATAACAAATATACAAAACATTTTTAAATGATAAACACAATGAATCGTGATGCATGTCGATTGTATAACATGTTTCCGACAATTGATGTAAACATTCGCTTAATATTCGAATAATAGTATAGGTTGTGTCTTGTTATTGGGGTTCAGTACGTTTAATGATACTACAGATTTGGGAACGAAAACGATTGAGTTTCTCTTATACGATTGATTTTTGGCTTTTTTGATTTTGATAGAAAAAGCTTACAATATTTTATTCATGTCGCTATTTTAGGTCGATTTCTCTTCAGTATAACTTTCAACTATAGACTATTACAACTTTTAAAGTAAACAATACTGGTGCTTGTCATACTTCACTTACTATTATTAACAGGTTAAACTTTACATAATCTGACCGAAAAAAATAACTGAATGAATTTTTGAAGTATCATTACAACGATACTCATCATCTAACAACAAATAGCCTAAAGAACCAATTGTAATGAAGCTAGCCTAGTATTCTAAAGTTTGATCAATGATACTTGTCGAGCGGTAGGATTAACCTAGACTTGAGGTCAAAATAATCTTAACATCTAATGGCCTGGAGATACACATGCCTTCTTCAATCTTCAGTTTCGAGTTGAGATAAGAGAATACAACAAATAAACTTATATTATTGTGTTTCAGGCACATATTTTTATTTTAAACACTCATTATTTTGTATACATGAATTATCAAAGCACACAACGCACCCTCAAATAAGGAATTATACTTTACACAAATAATCATGTCATCAGCGGTAGAGAACAGGGTTAGAAAAAATGAATAATTAATTGGCAATAATAAGAGAACAATAAACTATACAACAACAGTTAATTGATCCGATGGAAGTTCACAACACGGGAAATACAGAAACACAATAATCCAGTTATCTCTATATAATTATATGATAAAAGTATGAATAATAATAGTCTGTAAAATAGTTTTAACTTCCTTAATACTCGACTACAATAAAAACCATTTTGTAGTATTATGAGATAAACAAAACTATACACACAATAAATAGTTCTTAAGATTAAGTCTTTAATTCCCACTTCTACTCAGTGACTTGAAGACTATGAAGAGAAAAAAAACACAATCAAAACACACATGTCATTAGTAAAGATTTATAACTTCATGTCATTGTTATTTAGGATTATAATTGATCAGTTTCTGTTGCTATAAAATGTATCCTAAGTGGATTGGTTTCATATAGTGTTCTGTCACAAATTTCATTATATTTGATATGTATCTAGAAGTTGAATACAGGAAGCGAATTTCATCCCATTTAGACAACACGTTTGAAACGAAAGGTTTTGGGTTCAAGTCTCATTGTAAGCACCAATAAAGAGATGTAGGTACATCCAGTAGATGAGTCCCGAATAGTATGAAACGTATGTTCTAGGTTTTAAAGCTACTCGCATAAGAATTATATTTAAACACATGTCATCAGATGTGTCCAGAAGAAACGGATATGATAACCCAATTATTTTTAGTCTCTCATGAATCTAGGTTAATAATCCATGACAAATTTTATTTACCAATTAAATTAATCTCCACAAAACTGCTCAATAATTAAACTTAATAAGCTAAACAACTACATTAAAAACTTTAGAAAAGCGACTATCTACCTTATATTTGATTGGTGCATGAATATCATCAGTTATAAACTGATTCAAAAATCCTTCATCTTTTGACCAAAATAATCGAATATCTGGTATTTCGTATAACTGCATAGCCCAACGTTCTAAACCAAGACCAAAAGCATAACCAACTTTATTAGGTATTCCAGCTTTCGAATAAGAAAAAAAGACAAATAAAGATCAACAAACTGTCGAACAGGAAACAATAAAAATGTAGTATTCGACACCAGCATTTCGTGTCATATATGCGTTATCTTATATTTGGAACAGATGCAATGTGGCTAGTAGTGGAATCTAGAAAGTGTATTTTATCCAATCGTAAATTAAACTAAAATTCATATTCATTGCATAAATGAGTAGCCAAGTAAATAACGCACTGCCATTTGAACCAAAAGATACTGGGTTCGAATCCCGGAGTGGATATCAACTCTGAGATGCATATAAGTTCGGCTGAAAGACCCAAAAAGGAGAAAATGGGCATCCTGGATTCCATTGTTAGCCATGCCCCATCTATTTTAGTATAAACTTGTCATACTGGCTATATCGAGGCAATCAGCACAGAATGAACATACTCCAATAAAGACCAGTTAAAATTCAGTCAAAATATCAACAACGGGATAATTCAAAAACCATTACAAATTGGATTAAGTGGGTTACTATTTTTCACAATAATCAGTCGTTTGTGATCCATTGGTGTCATTTGTCTCTTTTTTACAGACAAAGCATGCACAAAATACATGGAAATGAGTCGGTTGTAAAAAAACCCTTTAAATCTTGCTGAGTTTAAATCCAATTGGTATTGTTTACTTGAATCGTCCCATTGATGTTTAGGACTGCAATTGATCAGTCTCTTATCGACATATATGCATACTGTATATATTGCCTTGATATTGCCTTAATTCACAAACATTCTAAGCAAAGACGGATAGTGGCCAGCAGTGAAATCCAGGACGCGCATTTCGTCCTAATGGGGACCCGTCAGCTGGATGTGCCTGCATCTCAAAGTTGATGTTCACTCTGGGATTTGAACTTAGTGCCATTCGCTTCAAACACCATCGCGTTATCCACTTAGCTATTGAGTCCTGATAGTCACTTGCTTGTGCAATGAGATGAAGTTTGAACTGATTTCTTAGCTGCGAGAGCTAAAATCTCGCCACTCTCTATAATGACATTTACTTTTGTTTCGTTGATTCACTTAGATTTTAATATCATTTTGTCCTAAATCTTAGATGATCAATTTAAAAACTACTTATCCAGTTTGGTTATAAAGCACAACTAATCTTTCATTTCTGATTAATTGAATGTTTTAATAATGATTAAATTGCTATCCAATTAGGTCAGCATAATTTTTAGTTTATTTTCCGATCTTTACATTTTTAAATGAGTAACACAGAAGAACATAATGAAGTATTAAACTAGGATGGATTATTGATATAATAAAAATCAGCATTTTTTAAAAAGGATATTTTTCGTTGAGTTTACACAATAATGAAAGTTTCATAATTAAACCAACTAGCTCAAAGAATATAATACCTGATTTAAAAAAATACTATGATCCAGTAATTTAATGAACAAACACTTACAACGTTCTAGTAATTCTTGTCGCATTATACCACATCCCAACATTTCAGTCCATTCTTCAGGCTTTTCACTATCAGAATCGTCATCATAGTTAGAGTAGCCAGAATTTGTTTTGATTTCTAATTCCCATGATGGATGGGTAAATGGGAAGTAAGCACTAACCCAACGTAGTTGTATGTCTGTGATTAATAATCAGGCAACACCAATAAGAAAATACTGAAACTGGGGAAGAGAATTGCTCATAAATCTGTATTATGATGAAAACTCATAACTAATGAACATTACTAAATGGAGCATTTCACTGAACGAAGAAGCATAAAGATTAACATACGAACAAATTAACAATGGCTTCATAGAATATGATATGACGATCAAGAGATTATAATCACCGCCACTATATATTACTAAATCGAAGAGTCACAATTTGTTGACGCTCTGGATGGAGCTTGTATATTGAGAAAACCCAATAAGGCTATAGTGGTAAAGAAATTTATTTCTTGAAGACCTAACACGTCAAGCAGGTGGGTTGGATAGCAATAAAAACCAAAAGCAACAAATTTAAGGTTGGATAGAGAAATTTAATTGTTAACTTTACTGGAGTGAGATAAGAGTAAAATGTCGCCCTCATGGATAACCAGAATATACAGAGGTGCTCCCTTCTTATCAATGAATTCGGATTGGAAGAACATCTGGCTTGAAAATAAAGCACTTCCATTTTCCTCAACTATTTTTAATACCAGTGATAAACCATGAAAACTTTTCAGAAAAAGGTTGTAGACGACGAAGGACCTAGAGAGAAACTGTAGCGTTTTAAAGTCAATATATCTTATATTGGCGAGAGAGCAAATTAACAAAATGAACATCAGAGGAGAAATAATACCAAGTGTAATGTAAAGCTAAACACGATAAATATAGTTTAAAAGGTATAACGGAAAGAATGGGATGGTAACAATCTCAAGAATCAAAGAAGGACAAAGAATGAATGCAAATGTAGCAAATTTTGATCCATTTCTTTCAATAGCTCGAGCAATGCATTGCAACTATGGCGTGTGCCTTAACTAGGGAGTCTGAGTCTCTACCATACAGCTGACACCACTGGCCAATAATTTCATAAACTGATGTCATATTTTAATTTGGTTGGGATTATCTTTATCACGGATTAGTTCTATGCTAGACAGTATTGAGTTACAGTAAAGGATGGTTAGGCATGAAAAACATATATTTAAACAATTTCAGTAAATAAAGACTTACAGTTGTATGCAATAATTTACCATCAGTTTTGTCCAGTACCTCAAACCTAATAACTATGTGGTCCCATCATATGTAAGTAATGCTTCAAAGACAAGTATGACCAGATTTTACGGTCAAACGTCAGTACAGAAATGACTGTTGCCCAGTATACTTTTCCTCTCTGATGGGAACTTGCCTCAAAAGTGCTTTAGTTTGGTGAGAGTCAAATGGAATTTCTGTATCGGCTAGTAATTCATCGGAGACGGTGAGGTTTTGAGTCAGAACAATATTCCCAGTAGCTATTGATAAAAAACTGGGTGGTCCTCTTGACCTGCCCCCTTCATATGTATCCTTTAATAATGGACGAGAAGAAATATAAAGTGGGAAATAAACTCATAAACAGTGACAATTGTTAGCATTATGCACCAAAATACAAATAGTAAATAGATAGAATTATAATAATACCTGGGCCAAACAAAAATTTAGCCATTTCCTGTAGGAGGGTTTTCAATTCAAATTCTAGTAGCATTTTAGTCTCTGTCGTATGACTAATTTGTCTGTCAGGCGGAAGCATATATGATGGAAAAACCTTGAATGGATGAACATCTGGTTCACTATATGGTGAAGACGATGGGATGTCTTCAAACAGCCGAAAACATTGAAAAGGATCAGTAGCATTTCTAAATAACTACAAAAAGGAATAATATAACTACATAATACACATGATTTCGAATTACTAATTAAAAAATTCTTACATTTAAGATGTAAAAACTAAATACTGAATCGATCTCAATCAATAATTGATGCCCCTAGTTGTGAATTATATGAGAAACAAACGACTTTGATCCTAGCCAGAGAGTGGTCAATGATAGACTTGACAATCTAGTATGTCGTTCTTTCACATTCCGTCACCACTTCACTTTTTCCAACTAGTTCCATCCTCAACAAATAATGTACGATATGAGGTTCACTCAGACAACATTCTTAGCACATGTTCAAGCCGCCGAAGTCAGTGTTTTGACATAATGACACCAATTTAATAATCGTCAATGTGACTGGACACGCGTTACCGAAACTTCGTATTACTAACATGGGTTTTCTATTGAATGTTAATAACCCCCAGGAGACAACGATGATCAAACACAGGAAGTTCCTTAACATCAATTGGTTACTCCTAATCTTAGTCAATATTGATTGAGATTGGAACGCTTGTCTGAATAATACGGTGAAAAGTAAACACAACTTGACAACTGAAAATATGCTGAAATCGAGTTGGTCTCTTCATTTTGTGGGTTGGCTAATTAAACAGAGTTCCAAACCAGGATAACGACAGTTAATTATTTAAAATCTTTAGTGGTAAAAACTGCCTGTCCAAACAGTATAGCATAACAGTCGAACAGCTACTGAACTATTTCACTGCTGAAGAGTCCCATGCTAGGACGAAATAGCCGTCTAGTGCTTCCAGGTTTTCAACGGTGGTCTAAAATTGATTGATTCATGACATCGATAATTTAATTTAACTAATAACATATGATTTGAGTAAACATGGCAAAATGATGCAAATACATAAAGACAGTGAAGATGGTATTGTGGTGTATGCTACTTATGCCGACATATATAAGTAGTATGTAGCACCAATTGGAAATAAAATGCCTACCAGCAGAAGATTAAATTGAAGAGGACAGGAAGGGAACTGGAGAGCAATTGTAATAAGAATCATGAATCACGTACAAGACAGCTGAAGGAAGATGCGCAAATAATGTATTTAACGTATGGTTTCCATATTTTACGAAAGCACTGTAATTCTACACTAAACAATAAATTGGTTTTCCCTACTAAGTCTTCGTTTACTATAGAATGAATGAATGCAACTATCTACTCAACTATAATGTAATACATTATTATTTGTAAGAATGTGAATTGTCTCATTGTTAATATTCAAGTCTAAATTTTGATCGGTCTTTCGTGAAATATAGTTATTTTATTAGAATGTTTTATAGAATAACTGGACTGGATCGATAACGTACATTTCATTCTACTTGGGACTTATTATCTGGATTTATCTGTGTCCCCGGTATTGATGTTTATACTCGGACTCGAATTCGGTACTTTTCATTTCATACGCACTGACCTATTGAGTACAGAAAACCACCTATTTGTTCAATAAGTATGATATTTACATCATTATTAACAAGGATTTGAATTATCCCAGCTAACGGAATACTCCTCCTGAATTTCACTACTAACAAAAATTCTTCTGTTCTATAGTGGTGAAATAGTTTGTAAGAAATACACTGTGTGAAAGGGAAAATTGTTTTTCGGTTTTTAGAATTTACAAATTCTTACTTCCTTAAAGTTTCAATAAAGTAAAGGCCTATAGTTTCTCAAAGTTCAAAATATGCTACTGTTTATTAGATCGATTTCACCATTGAACTAGCCGAATCATGGGGGATGTTTGCTTTTGACAGATCTTGTGTGTGCACTGGTGTTCTAAATGAAATAGGATTCAGTTATCCATAGGTTTTAGGAAAAAATGTAATCTATTAGGATAATAATGACCTCCGACAACTGCCAGCAAATACTACACACAGGTGAGATGTAGGCTGAGCCCATTATATAAACGAGTGCACAGTCCTAACGTGTTGTTTAGAATCTCTTAAATCACTTAAGTTTTGAGGATGCTGGATCCTCATGTGTAACTCAGGGTAAGAAAACCAATATCACTTTAAGACAAATTTCCGTTACATTAATTTACTCAGTGTAAATACTGTTCATTTTAATCGATGGATAACTGATTATCTTAAATAAACTTTGAATCTTATTGGGTCTTGGCTGACAAAACTTTGTACGGCAACTGGAATTCTCACTCTGGTTAGTGGGTTACGTGAAAAGAGAATAGGAATAATCTCGTTCACCGTGTTGAAGTTAGACTTAAGAAACAGCAAGTTAGTGCATTAACATATCATTAAGTTTTACCATAGAGAAGATTTTGGTAATGTTATATTTCCTGAGCTGGACAGTTTATAGCTGAGAAGCTTTTATTGTCATTTTATCACTAGAGGATGAGTTAGACTTAATTAAGAGGCTTTGGCTAATTGAAACATTAATCAGTGACAAATACCGAGTAGTGGGGTAGTTTAATTGTTGAAACAAACGACTTTCAACCATAAGTTCCAGATTAAAACCTCACCACAGCTATTTATCGTGGCCAACTAGTATCACTAACCTTCATATCAAAAGTGTGACTGGAAGCTAGTTACACTAACAATTAACTATTTTCATGAGATGTCACAAAATGAAGGCATTGAGGAAAAACCCTTACTTCATCCGATGTAAACAGTCGAACACCTTCTAACTGATGAAAGACAGGATAATGCAGTGAATCAATATCGTCACGTCGATAAACATCACCAGCAACAAGAAAAGCATTTAAACCGGAATTGATTAAGTCTAATTGATGCGCTGATGTATGACTACGTAATACAGTTGTTTCATTTAAATAATATGTATCTGTACGCAATCGACTTGGATGATCTGGTGGAATAAATAAACTGTCGAAGTTTTTTCGTACTGTTACCACTGGTGATAGATGATCATATAGGCTGAATAGTGGTGTACCACCTTGATTATTATTGCACACATGACGAACATGACGCTAGTTGATCAAAAATGACGAAGGAGAAAAAGAAGACAAGTATATATGTTAGGCAAACTTAACAAAAAACTGACTGCACAACTGAATCATTTATTTAGTGTAAATAGATAGTCAGGAAAAAACTAAGATTGATCAGACTAGGGTATGACCAAAAAACTTGTGAAGCCATTGACTGTTAACAATAGTCTAAAAAGCTGGAAAGAGATAGATAGAATCAATTGAAGCCAATTAAAACATCACATTTCTACGCCTGTTTATAGTTTATTTTATTCAAATTACTTTATTTGTTCAGTTTACTTTTTTTCGAAATCTTGTTAAATCTCTGCTTCGGTACTGTTGTAAGAAGGGAAAACTTAAACAAAATAAATTTTTCATTGTCTTCGTATAAGTACATTCTATATCATTCTACTTATATGAGCAATGACAACATATGTTATGTGGACCTCAACAAGGTAGTCTGCATCTACCTACATGGCGCAGTCCAATAGTCAAGGACTTAGTGGACTGGTGATACCTCTTTGTTTGGTTGCCCCAACTTTCTTACAACCTACTTTTGCACTAGCACGTATTACCCGTTGAAGTAGTTGGTTATCGAGAGCGTAGGACCTATGAACAAATAAGCACTAACCTAGCTTACCATACTAAACTAGTATAAATTCTAACAAAGAAACTGGACCGATGGTGATATTGTTGAGGGTAATCAGATATAAAGCGTGTAGTTAGAAAAGAAGGAATAAAAAGTGTGGGATAAGATTAGACCTATCGATTTGGAAGAAAACACATTCGTGGCACTGTGGTCGTTTTTGAACCATGTAACCCGTTTTTCAGATGCCAAATACGATAGTCATATGGACCTACCTTTGGCAGGAAGTCTACACATATATATCTAAGGGTAACAATTGACGACTTGATGAAGTGATGTAATTTTGGCTCACCAACCTTACTTATGACCTACTACTGTCTCTATTCTACTTGATGAACCTAAGTATTTTAAGTAAAATGATAGGTGTAGTTGTTGAAAGGTTTTTAAAATGTACACCACATTATAATAGGCTATGTACAACGATTGAGAACTATAGTTCAAACGGTTTGACAGTAAGCATGATTTAAAACCAAAAATTATCTAGTTAATTTGAAGAGAGACAAAAAGCAAGAATATGGGAGCTAAATGTAATTCCATAAGATTGGCTGCAAAAACTGGCTAGTTAATTAGAAGGGTTGGAAATTCTTTTGTGAAAACCATGGAGAAATGTGTCGGAGTAATATTGTCTAAAATATTACCATTCACAGTCAATCGACGCTTGGTTGGAGCTCGTAAGTAACAAACGCAGGTAAAACCATGCTAGTTTCAGACCTGGATGTGATCTGTAGATTAAATGTTCATTGTTTGTCGGGTTTTTAAATACAATGATAATTACTGACACTCAACTAAGGTTGTACCTCTTGACTTTAGAACCGTATTTGACGCAAGTGATCAGCAGGTTTTGTGGCAGTAGCTACGATAAACAGTGTATCCTACAAGTAGATTCACATATAAACTTGGAGTGCCCAATAGAAAATTGTAGCGAACAATTGGGGGAAGGTATATTGAACTAAAATACGAGTAAAAACTACACAGGTTTCTGAAAAACAACGTATAATGATGCAAATCAACCGATAATGGCTGTAGGTATGAATCCGGTATGCTATTTCTCGAAGATATACAGTAGTAGTAAAAGATTTATTTTAATAAACTTACTCTAAAATGTATACTGCCCCACAAATGCCCTAGTAAAGCCGAGAGTGGGGAGAGTCAGCTCCCTTTCTCTCTTGAAATGCTCTTACGTGGCCACATGCATACAACCACTGCCAGGGACGTCCTACTCACTGTCTTCTCGCGGCGAGGGTATTGTTTACGAAATTGAGAGGATGAAAAGCGAGTGTCTGGCGCTTTATATATATATATATATATATATATATATATATATATATTACTGGAGACAACATATGTAGCAATTTTCAACATAGAACATTATACTTACCTTAAACATGAAGTCCACGATACGTTGTTTAATCAAATTTAAAGGATGATGTTGTTGGTTATGCAGTGACCTTTTTGTAAGTTCAATTATATGGGGAGTTAAGTTATACCAAGAATCTTTGACAGTAGAATGTCCACCAATAGAAACCCAACTAGAGGTTGGATTTTCAGCAGTTGGTTGTAAACTTTGTTTAGTCTATTAGGAAAAGTACAGTAATGATTAAAGTAGGAAGTAAAACTTTACACTTACACAATTGTTGTAGAAATATATGATTTTAGAAAGTGATGGGTGAACATTGTTAGTCTAGCCAAAGACAATCAACGTTAGTACTGTCGCGTTTTGATTGCTTGATTGAATGAAAAGTGAAAAGAGCTTGAATTCGCTATTTTGTGAGGACGATATCACGTAGCTAAAGTTAAGATTGATCTTAACGAGCTTTAGTGACCAGTACCAAAGTTTAAGAAGACTTAAATTCGAGGCATTACATTGATAATCTATACTTACTTAACAATAGCAACGTGGGGGTAGTTTAGTGATTAAAGCATTCAGCTTTACCAAGTAGGGCAAAAGTTTGAGTTCTGGCTCACCTACTTTGGATGTGTAGGGGATTTTTGAAGCAGAGAGAGGATTTCCCTCTCCCTTCACCATACCAACAGATTTCAAGGCAATGATTTCGACTAAAGTCACAGAGTACTTTGAAAGACTACTCAACTGTTACATTGTCACGGTAACTTCAACCAAATCATCTTATACATTTTGGCTGGTGACTACTTTTAAAATATGTCAGCCAACCCACAAGACCCCCTTAATTTCTGGTTAGAAAAGTGAACGGACTGATTGAAAGGACTTGTAATCTAAGAGATGCTTCATCGCTTTAGTGAGGATTATTGTACACAAAAGTGAACTACGTAAAACACATCATAATTACTGGAGTATAAGCTTATATTCAAAGCCATTAATAATAATACTAATAAAATATTCACTCCCGACATACCCCTGAGAGTCTGAACTGGAAAGGACATTCAACTTGGCGTGGAGACTATAAGGTTGCATTGGTCGTTTATAAACTCTCCACTAAGCTTTATATCGCTTCTTTTCTGGATTTACGAACTAACTATATGATATTTTTTCCGCTAAATATTCACACAATATCGATTTTTTGTGACACATTTCTTAGTCCACTATTGTACCGAGTTTTCCTTGTGGTGATAAACAAAATCTTACTCTGAATGATCCCATTTTAAAGAATGTGGCTTTAGTTGGGATATGGCTCGATTATTTAGACATCATAACAAATAGATAGTACCCGAAAATATGGGAGACGTCACTTCCATTCGTTGACATGTTATCTTAGGCAACACCATACATGAAGTTCCCGGAACACTAAGGTGCTTCTGCATTCAACCTAGTATGTGGTGCATATGTATCTGGTGCCCTTTCGTACCACTATTTATGTGTTCAAATAAATTAGTAAATAATATTCAACCTAGTGCATATCACACTTTAAGCGACCGAATTTCCAATAATGTAGCTTCACTATATTGGCGTGATAGACAAAAATCTGTGCAAGATGACAGCTACAAAAAAATGCATAAACTTCTGTGATGTCTGGTGGTCAATCTATTAGTAATTCTTGTAATGGAAACTTAGTTTACGGAAACACTCATTAACGACGAGAGATTCGAAATATATGAATATGGTTCGAAAAGAATATATGTACAAAATAATAAGTACTTTTAACATTACTACAGTCAATATAGCTTACACTAAGTAGTCTATGGGGTTGTACACATGAACTGCGAAACAAACGAAAATAACATGGACACAAATTCAAGCGCATCAGCCTTTCCTAAAAGTAAACGGATGTGTATAAGAATATTAGGATAACATAAAGGACAATAAATAAGTTGGCTCATATAAACAGGAATAAATATCAAGTCACAGGATAGTGAAAGTCACATAGTTTCCATTGACAAACTCTGAACTATATTTGTGGAAAATATGAAGACTATCCTCACTGTCCAAAACTATACATACCGCTTGTCTAAAAGGATGTTAAATACACTTCATTTAAAATTTAAGTGACTAATAATCACGAATGCATATAGGTGGACAACTAGAGCAGCGATCTTTAAGATAATGTTGGTTCGACCGCTTATCTGTAATCATAGTTGGGGCTCAACAGTATATGATGCAACCAACTTTTTTGGTTTGAACTAGTGAGTGAACAAATAAGTAATGTACTTTGGTCCAAAAACAAGACTCACATGAAGATGAACACAATGATATGAAGCAGAAACATTCCTTGAAAAAGTCGCAGTAATGCCATCTTTTTTGACGAACATGGATCAACAGCTTGACATCAGTTCTGAACCTGTTTCCTTTAAGTGCACTGTTAACAGATGTGAAGTAAGTAAAGTGCTTTGGCGTCAGTTAGTGTATTTTGTGAAGTCAGAACACATTTATTTACAATCTCCCAATTATTGGGAAAATTTTGTCAGTTTTGGGGAAGCCACAATAGAAAATTTTTAGGAAATGCAACAAACTCGAAAATACGAATTTTCATGAGTTTGAGGGAAAACCCGCAATTCCTAATAATTTTCATCCAATTGGGAGATTGGATTTATTTGCAAAAAAAACACGTGGCTAGAAGTTTTTCATTGGGACTTTCGAAATGACAGGAATCCAATCACATACGATTTCTGATTGGGAGGAATTGTATACAAGTGTATGAAATTCGATATTGGGGAAAACTCAGATTTTCCCCAAAGCTTTTGAGGATTTCGCAAAAATAACTCGAAATTTTAGGAGAAAATCCCAAAACTAGGAAAATATCCTGGGTTTTTGTCGCATTTACTTAAAATATTATGTAGTGCCTTTCACGAAATTTTCCCAAAACTGATTAAAAATCTCCCCTGACATCCAAAGATTGAAATTTCAATATTAATATTGTGTCCAGATTACTGACGACATAAAAACTGATAATGTAATGGCTGTAGCTGATATTCGTGTGTAATATTTCCAGTCTTTTGTAGGAAAAACCTTGTCTCCCCAAAAATCCCGTACACTCACCCAAATCTTGAGGATGTGATTTATGTGAACAGTAACTCTGTAGTTGAATATCCGCTGAAAGACTATCCTCAAATAGTTCAAGTGGTTTTTAGATGGAATAGAAAAAGCTTTTGCTTGATGGGCTTCCGTATCTAGTAGCAGCGGATCACCAACACGTCCAGACAGGAACCCAAGTATATTGTCGATAATAAGGGAAAAAGAAATTGGTAACTCATAGTAAGATACTATCCTTAGTCCTTCAGAATGTCAGTTTCATTTGGAAAGGACAAGAGGCTTGATGGCCTGTGTTAGTCCTGGCAATGGTGGTCTCTCAGTTGATCCAACTTTCTTTTAAAAGAGTCGACGGATGGAGCCTCAACCACGTGCTGAGGTAATGAATTCCACTCGTTGATGATTCGATGGGAAAGTTGATAGTCAGCTGACAAGTAATTTGTTCTGGGCTTGTGAACTTTTTTGGAGTGTCCTTGTAAGTTCTTTGTTTCGAAAGACTGGAAAAAGGAGGGCATATCAGGTGCAAATTTACCACTAAGCAATTAGAAATCTATAATCAAGTCGCCTCTAGTTCTTCGACATGACAACGGGAAAAGGTTTAGCTTGGCTAGTCGAGCATCACACGGAAGCTTCGCTATTCCGGTAATCAGTTCATTTGCTGTTCTCTGAACCTTTTCCGGAAGTTCACTGTCTTATTTTAAGCAGGGGCTAGCCGCTTGTATGCAGTACTCAAGTTTAGGACGTACGAACACTGTATACAAAGTCGAAAACGTCTTAGCGTCGACGTGACTTAAAGCCCTACGTATTGACCCTAAGGTTCTAAAACCTTTGGCGGTTATTGCACGACAGTGTGTACTAGTATTTAGGTCTTGACTAACGAAGACTCTTAAGTCAATATGTGTCTGGACGACAGGTAGCTCAGTGTTATTCATCGTGTATGTATCTGTACCTTGATGATCGATATGCATCACAACACACTTGGAAGTATTTATTGGCAACTGCGAGGCTTGAGACTATTCAGATAATTTCTTCAGGTCATTTTGGAGTTCTAAGCTATCATCGTTACATCGTATCGTTCTCTATATCTTGACATCGTCAGCACATAGCAAGACCGAAGATGATAGGAGACGAGGAGGGCTATTTACATAGAAGAGGAAAAACACTGGCCCCAAAACTGTGCCATGACGTACTTCACTAAGCACAGTTTCCTAGCTGGATAACTTTGAGTTCACCTGTACTCTTTGTTGGTGCCCAACTAGGGAGTCTTTTATCCACATAAATAGATTGCCTCCAATTCTGACATTTCTTAGATTATGTAACAGCCGTTTGTGCGGAACTTTGTCGAAAGATTTGCTGAAATCAATGAAGGCTACGTCTACAGGTAACTTTTGGTCCTTAAGAGCTCACCAGCTTTCACGAGCCACTAATAAGTTAGTGAGACAAGAACAACCAATTCTGAAACCTTACTGTTTCTCTGTAAGGACTCAGTTTTCATCGAGATACTTAAACAGCTCCTTCCGAATAATCTTTTCTAAGATTTTAACAACCACACTAGTTAGGCTAACGGGGCGGTAATTCTCAGGTTTGTGTTTCGTACCTGTTTTGAAGACAGGACATACTATGGCGTCCTTCCAGTCTTTTGGTAAACGACCCTGCGTTACGGATAGATTAAGGCATATACTTAAAGGTTTCGCAACGAAGTTAGATAATTCCTTCAGTAGCCTAGGAAACAATGTCAAGTCTTCCCTCAAAATACTCCTGGAAAGTCACTTGGACTAGCTCAGCCGGTAGCGGATATTAGAATTTGACTGCTCTTAAGGACAAATTAAGATTACAGTGTTGAAGAGGCCACAAAGAAACGACAGAAATTCAGTCCAAACATAATAAGAGAGGCATTCGCCAAGTGTTTATGAATAACATAAGTCTCTAGTTCCAAAGGATCATGGGCATCAAACCCAATGTCCAGTATCTGTGTGATGAGCTAAAAACCCAATACAAAATTTTTATACACGAATAAACTAAGTTTGAAAAATTCTGGATCGCTGCTTGACGAATCACTGGGACAGTGAAATTTTGTGATTTCGTCATCACTGGCGCAGAAGCAAGCCTTCTTCACGCAAATACTAAAGATCATCTGCATGAACCCGTCTTCAACTTATAAGCGGCAAGTGGAAAACCTATCTCTATACACGGTAAGCGATCAGTTTATCATGTCGTGGGTTTACGCAAACCTATTCATTGTATTTCCGTTGTTGAAGACGTTCCTATGCCAGTCATTGGTACAGGCCTGCAATAACACCGTAATCTGACTATTGCAAACAGATATCAGTAGACGGGAATAATAGATTATGTGTTTGTGAAACCTCATTTTCCGGTTTTAGATTATGCCCAGTCACGATTGAACATAAAATCGGTCCCCGCTTCCAAATAATTCTCGACAAAAACCCCGAACTTTTCAAAAACGGGAAATATTATTGTGTGCAACCAGCAATGCCATGTTGCAACTCGATGTTATGGAAAAGCTGGTCTAACCTTTGTCGTTCGGTTTGGTTCCCATGTTCAGATATAACCATTTTTAAATTTTCATCAGATTCAGAATCATCACTAGTAAACATACTATATGGGAAGTGCCTGTTAAAATCGTACGGTAGTGCCACACTGTTGCGAATAATTGTGCACGTGGGTCTGTCTCGCTGTGCTCGCGGAAGTCAGCTTCTGTGTATCAAGACCAGGCTTTTATATTGTTGGGCCAGAATGGAATGGATTTAAAGACGAGAAGTTAAATAGTCTTGATCCTTAAAAGTTTAGATCTCTGTTCCGTCGTAATAAAGATAAAATATACAAATGAGCAAAAAATCCAAAAAAACACAAAAATAGTGTCACTATATGTAAAAATAGTGACTAAAAAATAATATATAACGTTGCAACAGTGAGCAAACACACGGTCTATTGTTTAATGTACCAGATCGTGTTATGATCATCACTAAAGATGCTGCAGGTTTTAGAGCCTCTTATTACCCATAACACCCTTATAATCGAAGTATACCAACCCAGTCAAATCAAAAGTCAGAAATGGAGGGGTTCGAAGATATATTTGGAAAGCTATTGATATGTCAGGAAGCGTTTGGTCATGCGTCCGCACTAGATCACGAGTGAGTACGTCGTATTGTTGGGTCCCCAATGCTAGTATACTCTGATGTTATAGTTTTGCGAAAAATAATAGGAGACACAGATGAATGCGTACTTCAGGCAAACTTAAATATTCTGACTATCTGGTATGAAAATGGCTGATACCTATCAACTAGACCAAGTTTGTCTACATGCACTTTGGGGAGACAAAGGTGAGTAGGTACGGCAAAGAGGAAATGCCTGTATCCGCGGTATGGTCTCATAAGGATCTTAGGTTGACAGTGAGTCATGATCTTGAGGACGCGACTCACTGTTGTGAAATTTCATTCAAGAGGTTCAGAACCGTATGAACTTAACGACGGACATTCACCAATTTAGATATTATTATGTGAACCATGGCATACACAACTTTAATGAGAACTAAGCTTGGTAACTGCGTTTAGTCTGCAAGCCCCTGTTTTGAAGATGACTCGAATATCTCCGAAAAATTACAGAAGGCAGCCGCGCGTGCGATTTTAGAACCCCGGGGTTTACTGTGCAAAGATCGGCTCGAAAAGCTAGACCTCTTTGCTCTCTCCTATAGCAGATTAAGAGGGAATCTGATTTTGATGTATAGAATAGTAAGAAGTGATTTTTGATCTAATAAATCCTCTCCTTCTCTACGTAATAGATTGAGACATCCTGGAAGACATAGCAGGTGAGTAGAAACGTCAAGAACGAGGAAAGTACCCATAGCATACGGCTTTTCATACCGAGTAATGAATTCTCGGATCCTGTTATTCGAAGCAGTGGTGTCCACATATTACACTAACTCATTCAAGAGAAAACTTAACGGTCATGGAAGTTGAATAGCAAAGGGCTGACATGTGCCGTAGGCTTCTTGTCCTCACAACACATGTCTGAATCTGTAATCTGAAAGCTATTGGACTTCGCATGACAAAAGCGTGTTTTCGTACTTGACGCTACTTGGACTAACGTTACTCTTCTGCGGGCTTAGTTTGTTAATGTCACAAGGTGTTTCAGCAGTAAGAATTTTGTTGCTTGGGGAACGTAAGTATCTCGAACAGATTATTAGTATGTGATCTTGAAGCCTTGTCTGTTGTACATGACATACTTAGAATTCTGTCTAAATACTGAAATGATATGAGACATGAATATTGATTTTAGGACGTAGGGAGCAATGATAAAGTCCATTTCACAATTTCATGAACGGTTGTTTCGATGTGAATCTGTTATTTTACCAATCTTTATGCTTATCGCTAGAGATAGCGTCGGTCAAAAGCGTACTTTCAATTCCCCTTCATCATTTATTTGTATCATAAAAGTTGTCCCCTTAATTCCAACGTTGTTATTCACTACTTTTTTTATCATTATTCTCATTGGAACCTGAATAGCGCTTCATATAGTTTGTATTCAGTTTGGGAGTAGCAGGGATCGTTTACGCAGATAAACTCCATAATCTATAAAATTTAAACGTTGACTATACTTTACGCTTGAAACTTATAAATTCATTGTGTTGTTTGTTGTTTCGTTTACATCGGTAATTACCTGCCTAAGTTCATAGTTTTTATGTATATTGTGATTTTGTCTACAACTAATGGTTAAGTTGTACGTACAAATGTTTTGATTAAATCATACCGGATTAGCACCTGTATGAAACTAAAAAGATGAGTTGCAGGGAAGTCAAAATGATAGTATCAACAATGATACTGGCGAAGGCTATAGGTTGAAAACATAATTCGAAAAAACATGTATGAATTAGTACTAAAGCTCACGATGGAAAGGAAAATCAAGAGTGGGTGAATCTTCACCTCTGTGACCAGTTTTGAACCATCTACAACCACCAGTTGTGGTTGCTACATGTACCTGATTCAGGTAGCATGCATCTCGACAAGCTTCAATCTAATAGCCATTGATTTCATCAACCG